AGCCCCCACAAACGAAGGGACGGCGCCTGGAACCATGGCGTGAACAAGAAGCCGCTGTGCAGCTGGCCGGCTGTTCAGGAGCCACACGTCCATGACCCGCTCCAGGTACCCCGCACGGAGGAGCAGGGCCTGGGAGCATCTGGGGACCCCTGCACCGGCCGAGGTGGGAGTGTGGGTGTGTGTGTCCCCATAGAGCCTGAGTGCTCCCAAACGCCAATGTGCTACGGTGCCCCCATCGGACTGTGGCTCCCTCAAGGGGGACGATGGCACTGTAACTCCTTAGGAAAACAAGGTTACCGGGACAGACCCCGAAGAATAATTCAGGACGCACACACACGCACACGCACGCACACACACGCACACACACACACGCACACGCACGCGGAACATTACACGGTGGAATGCTTCCTTTCTCCCTTCCTTCATCATAAGTATGCTTTTATTTCTGAACATTACGCGGTGGAATGCTCCCTATCTCCCTTCCTTCATCATAAGTATGCTTTTATTTCTCCTTCAAAACCCTGTTCTGACGTTCTCCAGACCTGAGAACGAGCTGAGGCCTGTGAGGCATGACCGTCCCCTCTGCCTCGGCCGGAAGTCCCCTAGCAGCTGGTTCACCTTCCCCACCATCGGCTCTGCCCAGGTGTGTCCCATTCCAGCGGCCAGGCCAGTGGAACCACTGCCATGGTGACGGGCGATGGCATGCCTGGGGGCCCCGCGGGGTCACGGGAGGAGACCAGCAGGCTCCTTGGAATGTGGGTGGGAGGGGGGGGATGTGGTGAGGGACTCATTTTTCTAACTCAGAGGAGGCCGCATATATGAGGTGGATGGTGGAACCAGGGGCCCAGCCGCGGCCCCACAGCGACGGTGCCTCTTTGGAGACGTCACTTTCCTGCTGCTGAGGTGGGCCTTTCCGCGGCAGACCAGTAACCCAGATATTGGGCAGTGTGGGGCGGTGCCAGCGCGGTGAAGTTCTGCCAAAGTGACTCCTGGCAGGTGGGGACCAGAGAGAGAAGAAAGCTCTTTACACAGTGACCCCACTAGTCTCCCCTTG